TACGCATGGTTTATAATATATCCTAACAGTTATACAGTATCATTTTTTTTACCTATTATTTGTTACAATTTTAGTAAATTTTTACATATAAATTTGTGCTTCACATCAAAAATACTGGGTTTAGATGAATTCGGTGATCACCAACGGAAATATTAATCACTTCCGTTTGAATTCCTTTTTTCCCCTCAATTTATATACGTGGAAATTGGAATTATTTTAAATGAGTAAAATATCCTGGAGAAAGATAGCCCTACCCACTATATCCTTCTCACGAAAAAGGGGCCGGTCCTCAAAGTTGACTTAATCGATTATGAAGCAAAACCTGAATTACTGAAGATATTGATTCAATCAGCTGATAGAATTTGAACCTAACATATGTAAAGGGTAATTTTTATTCTGGTAACTCATTTTTTCTATAAAAACAAAAAAGGAGAGAGAGAATAGACTCTTTTAACAATTCCTTCATAATCCTAATATTAGAAAATCTCCATAGTAATCGACAATCAATCATACTTATTTATCGATTATTAAAATATGGATTAAATCACCTGAATTAATTCGAACTTAACTTTTGAAGGTATCTTTTTTTTTTATGTCGGAGCTCATCAACAAATTCTTTTAGCAAATATTTTCATACTAGAAATTAAACCATTCTTAAAATTAATTAGATATAAAACAATACAAATTACTAACTCAATCATGTTACTATATTAGCCATATATTAAAACATATAAACTCTACTAGAACCTAGCTTAATTATAATCTAGTCTAAAATTCACGTTTATACTGTTTGTTTCTTTTCGTCATGTTTATACCATTTGCTCAAAATAAATATTGATGTCAAATTGACACGTAAAGTTGCCGTTTTTTCACATTAAATTTTAGGAATTAATGATAACTGTTAAGTATGCTTCCTCTAATCAGAAAAGTTAAATCAAATCTCTTAAGAGATCTGTCTGTCTATCTTAAACGGCCCCTCTTTGAAAATACAGCACACAGGAGAAACCTTTGTATAAGGACTATAGAAAGAAGAGGAATTTCAAAAATCACAATAATTTAGATGCTAATAATTATAATTTGCCTAATTACCATTTGTAGCTATTGTTCAATTGTTAATGACTTATATCACTTGTATTCAAACGTGCAATAAATACAACATGTGTCATCTATATTCGTCCGCGCAACGAATAATCTGTATCAACTGTATTCGTTCACGCAACTGTATTCATTCGTGCAACGAATACAATATATTTCAACTATAACCAAGAGAAAATACAAGGGTGTATATAAAGGATGCAACTTGTATGAACTGTATATAGGGGCATATACAAATGATATAATTTGTATCGACTATATTTGTTCGTGCAACGAATACAATTAAGGCAAAATACAAAAAAAAAAAATATATATTCTTGTTGAAATTCAAATTCTTACCTTCATTAGCTAAGCATGTACTCTAACCAACTGAGTTATGAGAGCTTGTTGGTCTCTTATTTCAGTTCAAAATAATTAATCTCTTATTGCTACAAAATTCAAATATACGAATGGTAAATTTACTGAAAGTATAGCTACGAATGATAAATACAGTGTAAATATTTGATGTGTCAGGTAATTTTCGTAAGAAAGAAGCATATCAGTAATTTATTTGCTTTTATTTCCAATGACAAGACCGAAGTAATGGTCTTGATTAAAAAAAAATATTATGATCTTGGTTCTTGCATAAAAATTCATTTCATTGTCTAAATGAGAGTTTGTTTTTGGCGTGGAGTTGTCGCTCAATTCAACAATAATTTAACTGTTGATATGTTGCTTTGACAAATATAATGTACTTAAGCTACTGAGGCATATATTTTTCTTTCCAATTCAATTACAAACAACTGGATCCTTGACTAATCATTAATTCTGGAAAAAGATTTTAGAGAACAAACTTACTGTTAAATATATGTACTTACGAAAAGATTAGTTTTAAAAAAATTAATTGATTGACAAATATATTGTACTTAAAGCTGTTTTTCAACCAAATAACAAGATTGGAATTTATTTTATATTCTTTTCTTGTATTTTTTTCGTATTGCTACCTAGCGTTTGCACTTTAAATTGGGCTATTACTATCACATGGGAAACTACCAACTACGTTCATTTTTAATAGCTTATTATAAAAATTGGCCAAGTCATAATATATTACTAATTTTAGCTAAATATTACTAATATTAGCTAATTAACTATTTGTAGCCAAAAAGGATCAAATTTTTGCTTTCTTTTGAGTGAGTGTTATTAGAATAGATTGGGTACATCTTAAGGAACTTGAATCTCAGTTTTGGGATGATTTGGTGAAGCTTTGAGGTGGATAGAATTGAAAATTCGAAGTAAAAGATGAACATGAAAAAAAATAGTATGTGTATCATTTGTGTATCCCATATGTATCATTGTATCAAACGTGTATCACATGCATACCTGTGTGTGAGATACATGTTTGATACATGTGTCGCACAAGAAATTTTTGAACTCGATTTTAACTACGAATTTTGATACCAAATCAATCCAAATCACCTCCAATCCTCCTCAAATTTTGTATATTAACTCATCTATATGTTTTCAATGAATTTCAATCATACCCATTGAAAATGTTCTTTTTTTTTCTTAGATTTTTGGAATCTTGTATATTTTTTTTGTTTGTATTTTATCATCTTATTTGCTATCTCATCCATGAAATTTCCTTTCCGTCTTGTATCTAATGTTGTTGATCATGCTTAAAAATATGGAATGAAATCTTTGCGTGTAATTCTTGGAGAAAAATAACCTTATTTATTTGGATTTTTAATTTTTATATGTACTTGGCTAATTTTAGTAAATTTATAATTAATGGTAAAGGTTGGTAAATTGAGAATTATTTGGGACATTTACGTAAGATTCCCTTTAACATATGCAACTTTTAGCTTATTTTATGTGTTTAGTAAACATCAAACTTACTTATAAGTCAAAATAAAGTAAAGTCACAAGTTGATCAACCCCATTTATGACTGATAGAGAAAAAGGAAATTCAATTTTTTCGCAACAAAAAACGCGATTTTTTTGGTTGTATTTTATACTGCTACGGGCAACTACTCCATGCCATTTTATATTACACCATGTGAATAGGCACTTTTTGAATCAATTTGGAATTAAAAATCTTGCGATAATCAACTCTTTCTTAGTGTAATACGCTTTAAGAGCATTTTAGTGATTTAATTGAAGAAAGCGTAGGATCAGCTTCTACATTTCAAGTTCACTAGTTTTAGGAATTTTAGTTCCAATAAATAAATTATTTTTAAATTTTCATAAGGTCAAATCTTAATTGATCTTAGAGTATTAAATATTAGGACTTCCTACATAGTTCAAATAAAAAAAATTATAATTAAAATTTTAGTTAATTGCAAAATCTTAAAATTTTAAGAAAAATAATTTAATACAGTTTTGTCCAATATAAGAACTATTAAGAGCAGCTAAAAACGAAAAAAAAGGTCCAATAAGAGCACGAAAAAATAGTAGAGAAATATAACTTGACTAAAGGTTAAAGCATACAGTCTAATACAAAAAGGATTCTATTCAACCAAGCTTTACAATCCAAAACATCAAAATAAGATGTATTGGTTAAACACGTGCATGCAAAATTCAACTGCTAATACAAATACATGAATGCAAAATTCAACTGCTAATAAAAAAATTGCTCAAAGAAAGAGAACCCGAAACCCTTAATTTTGTAGTTGTTGCTCGAATAAGGCAAAATTATGATGATGAAAAGGTGAAATTGTAACTTCTTTTATAGAATTACATGCGTATATAAAATTGGGTGAAACTTTTATTAGAAAAAAGACTCTAATAAGTTCTCAAAGAGTTCGTCCTCATCTAATATAGTTATAAAAAATTCAATGTCAAAAATTTATATCAAAACATTCCTAGTGTGTGCATGAATTAGTCAAAACTTAACAACTTTCCAAGTTTAAAATTTTAATACTCCTAAATTTAAATATAGTTGAAAGTATCAAAAGTTTCCAAGTATGTGAATTAGTTAAAATTTTATTAACTAAAGGAAAACTGAAACCTTTCTATTGTGTGTAAATTGGACAAATTTTTATTATCTAAAAAAGATCTCCTAAATTAGAAAGAAAATTTTGATAATACTCCTAAATATGGAGTTGGACGAAAACTTCCTATTGTATAGAGAACGAAAATATTTCCTAGTATGTGTGTCAATATTATTATAAGTATTAAAAGAGTAATTAAATAATTGTTCCTAAATAGTAGGAAATTAATTAAATGACTATTTTTAAATATTAAATAAATAATCAAATGACTATTTTGTCTAATGTGAACTCTATTTTAAAAAGGGTAAAAAAAAGGCGAACGACATTTCGCTAAGGGCCTTCGTGCTTTTAATATAGTATTAACTACCGTCAATAAGTTAAGTCAAACAGACTCTATATAGCCACTAATAGATGAGTGCACGCACGACGGGTGAAATTAAAAAATAGCCAGATTTAGAAGTGGTAATTGAAAAATAGCCACACTTTCAAAAGTAAACGAAATTCAGCTACTTTTCATGTAAAGATAAATCTGAACAAAAACACTGTTCAAAATCCGAAAAATATTCTAGCATGGAGTTCGAATTTTTTACAAGTGAACTTCCAGCATAACATGCTGGAATTTCATAATATGCTGGAGTTCCAACATAATATGCTCGAAGTTCATATACAGGTGCTCCAATCTCCAATATATTATGTTGGAATTTTCCATGTACTGGAATTCCAGTATAATATGCTGGAAGTCAATACACAGGTGCTCCAATCTCCAGTATATTATGCTGGAAAAAATAGTGGCTATTTTTCAATTACCAGTCCGAAAACTGGCTAGCTCCTGCTATTTTAACGCAAGATGGTAAATGTGCAAGATAAATTGGAGCAAAGAGTATTAAAAAGAGAAAACAAAGACAGTCAAAACTGAATCATATTCATTCCTACAAATCAATAATTCTCCGGAATTAGCATTGATAAGCTGTATTTGAGAAAATCGGGTGCTTGATAATAGAATTCAATAAACCATCTTAAATGTATAAGAATGAAAAATTACAAAAATAATACTCTGGTGCGTAATATACAAACAATAAAAATGAGCAAAGACCATGCTCATCCGAGTCGCGAAAACAGCCTCTTGCAGAAATGCAGGATAAGGCTGTGTTAGACCCTTGTGGTCCGTCCCTTTTCCGGACCCCTCGTATAGAGCTTAGTACACCGGGCTGTCTTTTTTTAAAAAAAAAAAAATGACAGTGCTCATCCGACTCTATCAAAAAGACCAGCATAATACCTGATTCATCTCGTCAACCAGTAAATCAAAATGAGAAACAAGCATACAGAGGCAACTAATGAAAGAATGATTGTGTCCATTGATTTTTTCTTCTTTATTGTTGAAAGAATATGATTGACCTGCAAAATTGTGTGTCAACAAATTAGATTAAAGCAAAGAATACATGAGAACAATCTCACCTGCAACAAATCCAAATATATTAACAATACCGCTCAATGGGTGGCTTACACGATACTACTGTAGCAAGAATTACTTTCATCGTAGTTTTACGTGGACGAGACATAAGATATTTAAGACCTCAACAGAATTTTCTATCAAAAGAATGAGAACTTTAACTTCGCTAAATCAATCTTGATGTTAATTAAATGCATAAATGTTGAATCTTGAAAAGAGTTTTCTTACAGTTGGAAGGCGACTGGTGACATTGCTGAGTTTTGAATTGATGCCACCAAATGTTGATCGTTGAAACACAAGTCCCTTCATGGTTTCTTGAGCATGAGAAATTACACCATCAATCTATACCAGAATAAGTCAACATTTAATCACAAAAATATGCGTAGCTACAAGGTAACGACATAATGAAAACCCCATAAAGCAAGTACTCAGAAATACAGGTCCAAACTTGGAAGTTGTATGACCAGAGGAAGAGGTTTACTCTTCTTTTTATTTCTTCATTTCAACTTTTCCTCAACTAATTTTAACTCAAAAATTCATCTAACCATTTTGTTGCAAGATTTTGTATCTGTTAAGATAGACTTTAAACTTAACTCAACCCCAAAATGCTAGCGCACGAGGTAAGGATTGTTCAAGACGATATAAAAAGATTACAACTCATCCTCAACCAATGAGTGACTAACATTTCCCCGCATACTCGTGGTTGGATAACTGGAGCGTGGATAACATTATTTGGGAGCCTAACATTTGGTAACCTAACATCAGGGATAAATCTGACTTTGATACATGTTAAGAAAGATAGACATTGAGCGTAACTTAACCTCAAAAGTTTAGCTCATTTTGCAGTGAGGATTGGGGATTGTCCAAGACCAAGACCATTTTTTGACAACTGTGTCCAAGACCATATAAGGAGACTACAGTCTATAACCTTAACCAATATTTATTTTTTTGAAAAGGAGTCTATACCCTTAGCCAATATGGAACACAAACAGTAATTAAGGACACAATAGCATATTGCTTACTGCAACGTCCATTTTACCCTCCCTATCCAGATCAAGATCGTTAAATCAAGGATAAATTACACAAGACACCCTTGTAATATGACTCAGTTGCAGATACACCCGTTGCAGTTCAAAATCATACACTTAACCCTTTTATGCAATGGAAATCCTACCCAAATATTAGCTTGAATAACATTCTCAATTTACAAGGAGGTTAAGTGTTTACCTTTGAAAACAGGAGGTATATTCGGAAATAAGTATATTAAAATAGAATAACTAAAAGACAGATTAAACTACAAACAGAAAGTTCCTACTTGTTTAATCTTATGATATTTGAGAAAGAGAACAAACATTTCCGTTTGAAAAATTTTATTCACGCCTTTGATTAAACATTTTTTTGAAACATGAATCTTCTAAAACTCTTAAACAGAAAATGACCAAATTACTTAATGAGATATATAAATCACAAGTAATAACTTTCTTGCACTTGAGCATGTAAGCTATGTTTTTTTTAAAATGATTATACTCCATTTAGTATATGAAATTTCCAATTTTATTTCAGTTTATTTTTATTGTTTCGGTCAATTTCTTCTCAATATACTTGGTTAGATGAGCGTCCCTTTGTATTAAGGGTTTAAATGTTTGATTTTAAAAATGGGGATACCAACAACAACAACAAACCTAGTGATTTCCCACAAGTGGGGTGTAGGGAAGGTAAGATGTACGCAGCCTTATCCCTACCCTGGAAGGGGAGAGAGGCAAAAATGGGGATACCATTGTTATATTTGTGTAGAATTTCGATTATATAAAGGGTGTAAGTGTTTGATTTTAAAATACCAAGGGGTGTATCTGCAATTGAGTCATATAACAAAGGTTTTTAGAATAATTTACTCTTAAATCAATTATGTGACTAACGGCTCGTTAGGTAGGGTGTATAAGAATAATGTTGAATAAGGTGTATTAGTAATTCAGGGATTAGAAATGCATGGATTAATAATGCAAGGATTATTTCTTATTCACTATTTGGTGTGGTGTGTTAAAAATTAAAATGCATTGCACAATTTTTAGGAAAATTAGTTGTTTACAAAAATGCCCCCCATATTCTTTAACTTTAAGGGACTTTAAGGACAATTTTAGCTTTAACTATGCTAATGCATGCATTAATAGCCTTAGTATTGCTAATACCATGGTTTGCTATGTATTAGTTATAAATAGGATAATACCAAATATGTTGTATAACTAATACTCGCATTACTAATACATAGGTTGAAAAAGTGTACAAAACAAAGGATTAGTAATACCAAAAGCTAATGCATGCATTATTTTCTCTAATGCATACTACCAAACGACCCCTAATTCTCCACAAGTTCAAGTTCTTCTTTCCATAGAATATATATTCATACCCAAGACTGTTACCATACAATCATATTTGAATAAAACAGGAGATCCACATTGCGACAGAAGCAACATGTAAAAGTAATTTCAAGGCAGTTTAACTGTTTGGAACTTAACTCTGGAAAGACATATTCAACTTCATAACTAGTGGTGGAACTTTCTAGTTTCCTCACAAGTCTGAAAGAGCCAATGAATTCCGCTCACATTGAAAAACTATGTTTGTTCACTTGTGTTCAACATCATGAAAATATCTAAGATATTTCATTCCTCATAGTATAACAAGAAAAGCAATTTACTACAAAGATATACCTGCCCAGTACTCCGATGAAGGGAAGCACGCTCATTAAGGAGTGCTTGATCATATGACCCATTGCCATCTTCCAGATCTAATCTAGTCCGATCGAATTCCCTAAAATCTTCAAGCAGTGAAGCATGCTCTTTCTTAGCTCTGTAACTTGAACGAAGCTGATTAAACTCCTATAATCCAACAGGAATTGTAGCTCTCTTTAGTAGTATAAACAACTTCTTAAGTAAGAATTATAGCAAGTTATGCTACTAGATATCTGCTACCAAATAAAATGACTGTAACCATATATTTGATTGTTTAAGAATCCCATGTGAAAGGAAAAACAATAATGTGTTGACCCGTTGACATAGAATTACAAGTCACAATATACGAGATTAGATAAGACATTTCATTGATTCTCAGTGCAAGGTTGCGATCTCACATGACAGAATTCAATTATAAAGTTGAGGAAGCGCCATTTTATATTGAATCACAAGAATCTTAGGTTTTCGCTTGTTTATTGAACCCTTAATTAACAGAATAACAAGCTTTTTCCATCAGTTGATAAAAGTTATAGTTTTTTATAAGGACGGTGAAGTTGTACAAACTACAAAGTAAGTTTAAAGTTAGTAATAGATCGAAAGTTTATGAAATCTTGGTTATAGAATTATAATAATGTTGATTCGTATCCTGATATTATATGAAGTATGGCAGAACACTGTGCAAATGTCCTTGTACTGCTATGAAGGGAAGCGATGCTTTGACTTAAGTCAAAAGACCAGCTGGCATAGTAATGTCTCAGTAGGTAAAGTTGATTTGTAGCCCTGACACAGACTGGAACCATAGTAGAACCGTTTTCGAATGTTCCAGTTATTCACCTTCACATAATAAGCACAAGTGCCGGCTGCAAATAGCAAGTGGGAAGCTGCTAATGTGATTTGGTCTTCAACAGACTCACTTGATAAGCATAATAAAAATGAAACAGAGGCCTCCTACGAATGACCTCACTTCTTGATGTTATATATATTTTGATGAAGTAAGGGGAATTCATTAATAGGCATCAAGAAGATGCAAAGAGAATAAAAAGGTAGATGATTAGCTCCAGTACATGTGAGTCTCTGCTACTTCTCTATGTTATATTCATCTTAGAACTCCACAAATGAGTAATAATACTTTGCTTGGCATGATTCTGTTAGAAGAAAATTTCCATGCTTTGTCATTGTAGTACTATGATGATAACAGATTACAATGAAAACATTGAAAACGAATTTCAAGTACCTGAAAAAGATCCTGAAGAATTTCTTGATGGCGAGTCAACGTATGAGAAAAGATCTCAGATCCTCCAGAGGAAACCCAAGCTTGCATTTGTGAATTTACTTGTTGAAGCTGCTTGAGTAGTTGATTTATACTGGATTCAAGATCATTATCATTTGCACTGTCAACTTTTGTTGAAACAACTTTACGATACAAATGCATTTGCTCATCCAGTTGTGCTTCAAGCATCCGTGCCTGGTAGTAAGAACCATCAATGAGGAAGAAAAGACAACGGAAAGAAATGTAACTAAAGTTGCAATTCCAAGAAATATTTTCATAGATTGAATAAATTATTTTCAGCGAACATTAGCTCGATCAAGCTAAAGCAAAGACGCCCAACCAAAAAGACCCCCTTCACACACAACCCACTTGACATTATTCTCACCGGCCTCCAAATCGTCTAAAGAAGCTCTTTTCCATCACAAGTTTAAGAAAAAGCAACATTCTTTAAGAGTTAAGCGCAAGCAAGAAAAATGCTTTCCCAACCTCCTTCATTTACCACTATCATCACCGAAGAGACTGTGACCATTACAAGCTAGTACAATTTGAATACCCAGAGAGTGCTATAGTAACATCAACACAAAGAAAATTAGCACACACACCCCCACCCCCACCCCCCAAAGCCAAAAGAAAATATCAGTTGTAGTCCGCAGGAAGTTAAAAAGTAACTATGCTCATGTTTCTTCAAGTGATTTTGGCTCTTAGTCACTTTTATATAGTGAACAAAAAGCCGCCCTCCCAGACACTATCCTTGAGCCTTTTTTCTAGCCTCTTAACCTCCAAAAGCAAGTTCGACCTTTCATATGTAAGCCTTTACTTTTGGCGAAAGTTGTAATTTATTGATCAAAAAGAAAAATCCCACATACATGATATAAAAGATAAAGTAGGGGATCTAACAAATATAGCTTAGGCGCTCCAAGTATCTAACAAAGCAAATATGTTCCAGTGAAACAACTGTCTGTTTCGATCAAGTCTAATTTGTACCAAAAAACCTTCCACTACCCTCTCCTACTTCTCTCCTTCTATATGGTCCACATAAGCATTAATTTCCAAGCTCTACTTCTCTGTCACTACCTTCTGAACTTTCATTCTAATACCATTCCTTTGACCTTCTATATGGTCCACATAAGTGTAAGAGGAGTTACTTCCAAGCTCTAATTCTCTGACTCTTCCTTCTGATCTTCTCTAATAGGATTCCTTTTACGGAACTTGCATTACCCGTTCAATACCAAACATGTTCCACATAATATCCATAACCAATATGCAACCCTTAAGCCTTATCTGGTCAAGAACTCAAGTCACGGCTCCAAGGATATATAAACTAAGATCGTTAGACCTCATCTGGTCAAGAACTCAAGATATAAAGCCTCAAAGAGATATTGGACCAGTTATACTTGAGCTCGCAAAAGCAATCAAATGAACAAATATAAAGAAAACAACTTTGCATAACAAGAGCTAGACAACAGTCAAACAGTATCTTAACATTTTCCTTCAGCTGATTAAATATAAGGGATTAGATACGCTTTGTAAAAGCTTGTATCTTATTGGAGACTATATTTTTCACTTGCCTAAGGATATCTCGTGCACGTACTTTTAAGTTTCAGATTTGAGGAAAAAGGGAATTGCAATAAGTCTATGAATTTACTGTTCCTTTACTTGCATAGATAACTCTTTTATGGCAAAAACTTATGCAAATCGCAGAAACCTAAACATCCTTATAGAAATTACGGACTAATGAAATACTATCGTATAAGCATGATACCAATAACAAAAGAAAAACTTATTCATTTCAGCTTCAGAATTCACTAATAATATTCAAAAATTAAGAAATCAAATAAAATGAATCCAATTTCATCAACCCAATTCATGTATATACATCGACAAATATAGGCATAATTCATAATGATGGGAAAAAATACCTGCTTTCGCAAGGAGTCCCAAGAGGTAGGAGGATCCATGAGAAAGCGAGTAACAAAAAAAGGATGAAGAATTGCGGGAAATAGAGATTCTATGATATTGCCGAATTTTAATTGTGAGAGAAGAAGAAAAAGAGGAAACTGAATTCCGTAGAGAGAGAGAGAGAGAGTCGTCTGAACCGAGAAAAAGTTACTTCCGCAGTCTCACAATTTTGTCAACGCAACAGGTTGCTCACTCTTTACCCCTTACATTTGACATTTGCACTTTATTTTATACTATATTATATTTCATCAATAAGTAGTTTATGGATGAAAAATCGTGGTAGGTTAAAATAACCGAAGAACCTAATAAAATAGGTGGAAAACCAATTGTAAAGTTATTGATAACAGAGCTTAATTTAAAATTCTAAAGGGTAGATTAGTTGCTTAGTGATAGGATAAATTTTATACCAAAATGGTAGAATTCGCTATCTCATATAGAAGATAGAATAAATAATATCCTTATCGGACTACCGGAGAGATTAAGAGATTTTTTTAATAAAATCATACGTTTTTAGTCAGACATATAACATGTACTATTACAAAGGTGTGTCGTTAACTCCCCATTCTATGTTGGAAACAACTTCTCCATTTTATTTCAAGGTACGTTGTAGAAGCATCCACTTAATTCTAGAGCAACGAAAAACATAACGATCTTACCACTCACTGTGTCATCACTCCCACTTCTAAAGACATTACGAGACAAAAGAGTTCAAAATTATTTGCTCACTTACCTGAGTCCCCCGAGCCAAAACTGCGGTCCATACCTGGACACAAGTCTTTTAGAATGGCCTACATAAGAAAGCATCTGGTACCGCATCTGCGACGTTATTACAAGCTGCTAGTGCCCCACTAATATCAAGTTCACAACATCCCGTACGAACGAGTAGAACAAAATCGAAGATTTACACTTTAAGCTGAAACAAAGCTGCACAATTAGGAAAGAAAGAAAGAAAGAAAGAGAATTTTTCTAGATGTCATGTAGCCTCTCGAAGATAAGTATGGACGTTATAATATGGATCCGTAAGACTCAACTAGACATGACTTGTAGAACCTATGAACCTAGAGCTCTGATACAGACCTGTCATAACCCAAATCTGACCAAGTCATGATGGTACCTAACTCATCCCTTTTATGACTTGTCATAACTCAAATCTGACCAAGTCGCGATGGTACCTAACTCATCCCTTTTATATAGGAGCATGCCGATGATTCAAGTACAAATTTCGATTCCAGCTCAGATACGAGCATCAATTGTAAGAGTCGACAAGGGTTGTACAACGAACAAGATCGCAAAATCCAACTAGTATAGGTTTAAGTTCAAGATGCTTCGCTTCAAACTTTCATCCTGTAGTTGGAGATTTAGCCGTGGGACAGCTAAAATCACAGTCAATTGTTCAGTCTTAACTGAGTACTTCTACAGCGAAAAGTGATATTTAGAGTCAGTAAAAACCCTAGCACAACTGCAAGCTACGACAACAATACTATGAGAGGCATACATATAAGGACGGTAGACAAGCAACTGTTGATCAATAAATACAAAGAGACAGAGAGAGGCATATCATCGATGGGATAACATTGTTAAGGGCCTTGAGATTATTTTTATGATCAATTTTTATTCTGGAGCAGGAGTCTATATATAGTTGTTTATCCTGTTTATCGATAATATAATGAGGAACAATCTATATGGTATATTGCTTGATCGGTGCGTGCATGCCATGCAACATTTAACCACCACGTACGCCCAGGTTGTGAAGTTTGAAATTACAGGGGATTTGTATTTGAGTTAAAGGGTATGACAGTTGTGCCTAAGAGCAACATATATCATATTTTTTCATGAGGGGTTAGAGAATGATCAGTAAGGGTTGTATGGGGCTTACTGCTTATAGTATAGTCTATAACACTCGAGCTCTCGATAGTGTTTTGAGTCATATGTGAGTAACCCGATGCATGTGTACGTTCCCAAATGACGGCTTCACATGCGGGAGATTGAATTTTATTTTGATCTATGTATCACAACTTATTTCTGTTTTTCCGTATCGTATGGCTTCAATGAAGTTGAGAGAATTGAAAGGAATAGATACAAGACTTGCTTAATAAGGGTTCAGATTTAGTGTTTCACTTTCACCATAGGATGCCCTTGTTCCATTCGTGAAGAATAAGGACAGTTCAATATGCATGTTCAATGATTATCAATAATTAACAAAGCGATGATGAATACGTGTATGTTGCTTCACAAGAATGATTTACTTGTACAAGACCAATCAATCTTGGCCACCTAACTCATTGCTTGCATATAAACATCTATGGTTGGTCTCTTACATTTATCAATCTTCATGATATATTTTGGTGAACAAAACTAACTGATCACTTTCGAACTTCATGGACTCATCTGGTGTCTCGCCCGTTCTTGACATGGACAATATAGCAACTCCTTTACTCCATTTGCTTTAAATTTTGAGAAAAAACCCTATCTTATAATTCATTAATAGTAGCTCAATTTCTCATAGACCAAAGATAATCCAAGATAATTTAACAAAGTTAATATAATAGTCTCTAAAAGACCTTGTAACCCTCGAGATACAATACAAAGTATCACATTTTAAAGTGTTATCTAGCACCCGTGGGTCTCAAAGAGCAATTTCTTTTTAAAAAAGAATGATAAAAAAGTAGCTCTCTCATAGCCGACTGCTGTAGTGTTGCAAATATTTTTAAATAATCATAGTTAAAGGAAAAAAAAAATCAAAGTAGTATTATCATAGTAAATCCCCAAAGTTTACTACTATAACAAAAGGAAGTCAATACAGCAAGTAGAATAAGAGGCATCCGCAACTTCGCCTAGAGAGTTTCCCCTTTCCCCTATTTTGGTGAAGCACAACATGTCATGTCCGCGATGAAGATGGGAAGCTACATGACTAACTAATAGATTTCATCAGATTAATCTGAAGAAATAGACTTCATTTCAAGAATACACAGCCAAATTCTTTGAAAACCATGAAGTTTCATTCAACTGCAATAATACGGAGAATGACTCAGTAGAACCTGTGAGAAGACTAGAACGCTGAAGTTTGACTATACTGATTCTCATTTTATAATATGTCCATCAAAACATGGGATATTAGGGAGAATAGAGTACAACACAGAGGCTCCTCCTTCAACAGTGTTTATCAACTTGGAGAAAGAAAAATGTCACCGTCATTTTTTATAAGTTGTTTATAGCAGCTAGCAGACAAAAGTACATACATAGATTCACTTTTAATCATCATCTATACGAATAGCCTCAGAACCTAATTTTCTTTTCTGTCAATATTGGTGGCGGAAATGTCACTATTATCCACCATCTCTATATCAGCTTCTCCAGTTGATAAACCACTAGGTCTAGTCTCTGGAACTTCTGCAGGAGAAATGTTGTGGTGCTCGTTGCTCTCAGCCATGCTTGCAACTGTACAATTGCTAGCACTCTTGGATACCCTATTATCTACTTGAGATGATAGGACTGGAATACTGGATTTACTAGCCTCAGAATCCCTATATTCTTGAACCAGTTCCCTCTTGAAATTCGGAGTATTTTGATGTGATGAAGAAAGAATTTGGTTCATCTGTTGACAAATCGCTTCCAATGGAAGAATGTTCTTTCTCATACTAGGGTGACTCACATTTAATGAATCTTGGACATCTCCGGAGAGTACCTGGCACATCTGCAGAACAGACAAAAAAACATATAAGTATCATCATTAGAATACTTGCTGAGAAATATGCGGTTTTATCGTCTTTGTACTGGCAAGTTTGTCAAATTGTGCATAAGATGAAGTCGAAGTATGTTTGGCAGTGAAATATTCACCTTGTTATAAAGCTCTGCAACACCTAAACGATCTGGTTTACGATCACAAGCAACTTGAGATATTCCCTGTGGAGCTGCATTCAAAGAAGTGCATGATTAGATGCTAGGTCAGTGCCTTTACTACATGACACACTATAGAAAACTCGAGGAGGGTAAATGTCTCTACTTACAAATTGCTACAAGTATGGGGAAATGATCAATCAATTCAGTATTGGTTTCATCAACATTTCGATTTGGTTCATCCGCAGCCTTGGTATCACACACCATCTCTTCATTAGGCAGTTCATGAGAATTTTCATCACCCTAGAGGAAACATGTAAGGATCAGTATACCACATTACAAGTGTAGCTCTCCACAGAAGTAACCAATGGAGCTGCCACACCTGGTGACCTAGATTTCAAAAACTGGTTCACTGAGAGAATTTGAACCAATTAAGCAAGTCCAAGAATTGTACTGAGTTTCAAACATATCCAACAGTTCTTTCTCAAGAGAACGGGTCAAATTCTCAAGGCTTGATTGATTATAGAGGAGAAAATCTATCCTTATAAATAGTTGGGAACCCACAAAGTTATATACTAGTGAGAACATGTCGTTCCATTCATGAGCTAACCTGCCAAACCAGGCACATAGTACTATGAATCTCAGAGAACATAAAACAGCTAGTATATGTGAAATTACTTGAATTAGCTCTCTAATCTGATTTGACATATACTGAAAGGACATGTATGAAGGAGCCGTCACTAGAGTGAGAACAGTAGTAGGAGATTTTATAAAGGAGTTTTCCACGACAGTGGGTCTATACCCAGGGATCGGCATTGAGCCCCTACTAGTTTACCCCAATTATGAATGAGCTAGCCTACATAATACAAGATAAGGTCCCATGATGTATGCTATTTACTGATGATATGACAGAACCAGAGAGGGCGTGAAGCAAAAGTTTAAACTATGGAGAAACACTTTATTGAGTAAGTTTTAGGATAAGTAAAAGTAAGACATAATACATACCCAACAAATTTAGTCAGCATGAGAAGAGTGAAGTTGAAGACTAAACGGGATTGTTGTGCCAAAATGAAAATAATTTAGATATCTAGGCTTTCAATAGAATGGAATGACAGATACATATGTTACTCACAAAGTTAAAACTGCATGGCTGAAATAGTGAAGTGCTACCAGAATGTTATATGATAGAAGGATACTGACCAAAGTGAAAGTAAAGTCTACATAACAACTATAAGACCGACAATGTTCTAGGGTAGTAAATGCTTGGCCACTAAATCCAATATATCCACAAGTTGAGTGTTGCAGAGATGCGGATGCTAAGATGGATGCACGGCTATACAAGATTAAATAAGACTAACAATGACCACATTCGCCAGAAGATGCAAGTAGCATACTGAGGATAAAAAGATAAGGTCGCCAGAGATGGTTTGTTCATGTCATGCGTCAACCTACAGATGCATCGGTCATTAGGTGTAGAACTATAATAGTGCAATTGTTAAAAAGGGGTCAGGGGAAATTGTCTCGATATACCTACAAATGCTTGGAATCAATGCAGACTTACTTAAAGATAGGGCACGATGGAAGAAAAAAATCCATATAGGCGATATCTACTAGTTGGGAATACGTTTTAGACTTGTTAGATAACTTCTAACATTATTGGTATTATCTATTATTATTTACATATATTAAAATATATTAAGGTACGATGATGACATGAGTTGAGCATAATGAAGAAGTGAGGATTCATACAGCAAACCCAACTTGTTTAAGCTGAGGCATAGATTGACGAATTTCATAATTATATCACATGCAATCCAGCATCACATCGAGAAGGGTTATGACGATGTGCATGGCAGTTTCAGTTTTGAGGATAGAAAGGAAGGAGGAACTTCGTTGTTGGATTTCGCTAAAGTTTTTGATTTGGTGATAGCTAACTCGAGTTTTCAGAAGCAGGAGCACCCGGTCACCTTCCAGAGTACAGTGACCAAGACCCAAATTGATTATACACTTCTTAGGAAGTGTGATAAAGGTTTATGCATGGACTGCAAGGTTACCCCGAGTCAGAATCTTATGATACAACATAAGCTCTTGGTAATGGGCCTGGAGAATAAGAGAAAGTGGAAGAAGAGGGATGTGTATGGTCAACTTAAAATCAAGTGGGGAGCCTTGACAAAAGAAAAATCTCAGGAGTTGGGGGAGGAGTTGATAGCAAAAAGGGCTTGGAGAGGTGAAAATGTTGGTTTATGTTTAGTTAACAATGGCATGCTGAAAATGTTGGTTTATGTTTA